ATAGAACATGTTGTGACCACTGGAAAGATATTTGGAATGAGGGATAAAGGAAGACAACGAGAGAAGATGCTTGGCAGTCTTGTTGCATGGCATGGAGGTGTGTCGGCACACGAACTGATACATGCTGCAGGAGATCGCAAATTATGGAGGGGCATGATCGCCCACGCCAGTCGGCAAGGCACCTGATGATGATGATAATGACTCTAATAAAACTGATAATTTATATAGAACAGCAAACAAACAACACAGTATGTGGTAAAATAAATCTAGCATTTTATAGCTCTCTGTTGAGTTGAGTTGAGTTAAGAATTGACATCACAGCCCTCAGGGCATTCACATGCAAACTCCGTCCTCATCTTCAGCAGCCAGCTCAGAGTTCCAATTCTAATGGTATCGGTTGCCTTTCCTCTGAGTGTAGTGAGCCGGCTAGACCCTCAGGTAACACCCAGGTGCCTCATTCTCTCCAGGCCATAATAATCTTATTTACGGCACTCTATAGTGCCGCAAAAAAAAAAAAAAAAAACCCACTAATAATTTAAATAACACTGTCAACATTTATCGGATTATTTCAAAATGTAGTATGAATGACGCCAAAATGTTCGCATACATTTTGTCAATTTAAATTGTACTCAAAATAACCACAGCCGGATGTAACACACGTTTCTAGCTGGTTCCGCCGTTTTTTGTTTCACTTCATGCAGGATGTAGCTTACAGTCCGTTTTGGGCCAAAATGCTCCAATCGTTCTACGTGGACATTGAGATACCTTGGGGTTCAAACTGAGGGGAGGATCTGAGCACCTATGGCCGGAGTGCAATAATGATAACCCAACTCACTAACTAACTAATTGAGATACTGGAATGTTTTGGCTTGTGCGTAATTCCGACTGCCAACATAAGTTGTTGTATAATACGACACAATATTTGAGATATCTAGATACTCGAAGATTGATGAAGCAGAAGTAGTAGTAGAAGAAGAAGAAAAAGAAGAAAAAGAAGAAGAAGAAGAAGAAGAAGAAAAAGAAGAAGAAGAAGAAGAAGAAGAAGAAGAAGAAGAAGAAGAAGAAGAAGAAGAAGAAGAAGAAGAAGAAGAAGAAGAAGAAGAAGAAGAAGAAGAAGAAGAAGAAGAAGAAGAAGAAGAAGAAGAAGAAGAAGAAGAAGAAGAAGAAAACAATAACGATACAACAACGCAGCAATAATACAACAACAACAACATCATCAACAACCATAACAACAACAGCATCAACAACAACATCAACAACAACAGCAACGACAACACCAACAACAACACGATGTCAATTCAGTAACGCGTACTTCAACTCATCCACTTAACTGCTAGATGTTTGTCTTAACCCTTCTTTGGCGATAGACGTTCTCGTGGCGATAGTATTTTCCGCCCTGTAGGTTTGCCAGGACTTCTTCAGAGCAGACATCACACGACGGTTAAACACAAGCACCAGGCTGATAAAGAATCCCAAAGAGGCGTTGAGAATGGTGAAGATAATCCAGAAAACCCGATGGTCAATTAGAGCTGCCAGGAGGCCGAACAACCAAGTGATGCCCACTAGAAAGATGATTTTGACCACGATTCTGGTGTCCGTTACAGCCATGTTGTTATTGGGCTTTCGGAACTCGGAAATGCTGGTTCTTTGTCTCCGTAGCCCCTAATGACGATATAAAGATGGATGAAGTTGGTGGTTGATAAATGAGAGGTTACAGAGTTGATAGTTAACGATATCTTTGTGGGCAGACTTTATGGATGCAGATAGAGAAATGAGTGGATCTGATGATTAAATATACATAGAAAATTATAATATGATGGATAAATATATGTAGAAATGGGTTGATAGTGGTCCTATAAATATATATAAATATATGCATTCATACGAGTGGAAGTCAATAGGTAAGTCACAAAAAGTTATGGGATGGCAGGAAACTGTAGTTGGTGGTTTCTACAGGTGTTATTAGGTGGCAGGAACACCGAACTTTATGTCTCCGTTCGTTAGATGGCGCTAGGTGCTGCATGCGCATTCGCACGACAGAAAAAAAAATTACGACTGTACTTAACTAAGCGTACCCTCAGATAACACCCTGCTGATGTGCGTTTTTTGAAAGGGCGGGGGGGGGGGGAAACTACCCGCAGAGGACATTTAAAAGGAAATGCATCCTATTTATTAACTTGTTGATGAAGTGGGATCTGGTCGTCCTGTTGAGATTGCAACATATGCATCGGTGCAGCGGGTGGAGGATCTGATCATATGTGACAGGCGAGTAACGGTTGACTCTGTAGCATCTGCAATATGGTGCTCACATGATTCAGTATACAATATTACGCCCCCGTAGGGTTCCGGGGCCTCATTGTGGGGAAAGCAAGAATAGACCCACTGCATCCCCAAAAGCATGTCGTAAGAGTCGACTAATTGGGGAGCTTCCTTTGAAGTCGGAGTGCATGTGCCGGAGAGGCAAGGAACCAACAGTCTGTATTCAAGAGAATGAGATCTGTAAAACTGATGCACACGCAACACTCAGGTTTTGGAGCAGGACTGCAGTTCAGTAGTGGACGAGCAACCAGAACTATCCGCCAGAGTGTACAGCTGATGAACGCGAAGAAGAAGAAGAAGAAGAAGAAGAAGAAGAAGAAGAAGAAGAAGAAGAAGAAGAAGAAGAAGAAGAAGAAGAAGAAGAAGAAGAAGAAGAAGAAGAAGAAGAAGAAGAAGAAGAAGAAGACAATATAACGCATGTTCGATTGACATTTAGAAAAGTATGCACAAGGTTGGTACCCAGACAATTCACAGGCGAACAAAAAATGAACAGATTAGGCCTGTCGTTGCAGCATCTCTATCGAGATGAAGGAGAAAACACGCTAAACAGGATTATTACTTATTTCCACCATCCCGAATCAAAGCGTGGATACATCCTTTTTTTTTTTTTTTTTTTTTTTCCTGTGTTCAATTATTGAAAGTTACACCATCAGAAGGAAAGTTATGCGACTGTGATCTGGGATTGTCAAGAAGTACTTTTAACCAACTTATAAAAAAAAAAATAATAATAAAAAAAATAAAATAAAAGAGTGACAAGAGGAACAATGATATATACTGTGAAGTTCTATCAATGCTTTATGGTGCAATTCGAAGAAAACGTCTGTGCCTGCTAACTAGAGGAGCACTGCTCCGTAATGACAATGCCAGACCTCTTATGGTTCGGTTAACTCAGGAGAAAATTACCCATCTAGAGTGGAAACGTCTGGAACATCCACCTTACAGAGCCGACTTAGTCTCTAGCGATTTCCACCTTTTTGGTATACTGAAAACCCTGGGGAAAGGGGGTTGGGGGTGAGAAATTTTGCGAATGAGGCACAATTTGAATGTGAAATTAAAATGGGGTTTAGAAAACAGAGCACGCAGTTCTAGGCAGCAGGTTTGGAAAGTCTGAAAGAACAATTGGACAAGTGCATCAATGATGCTGGAAGATATGTTAAAAAATAAAGGGACAGTGTATGTGTAAAAAAAAAAAAAAAAAACGGTTATCAAGATGTTATCCTCTAAGTTTTTTAAACAAAAACAACCATTTGTGACTTACTTATTGACTTTCCCTCGTGTGTGTGTGTGTGTGTATATATAAATATATATATATATATATATATATATATATATATATATATATATATATATGTGTGTGTGTGTGTGTGCATATATAATGTTATGTAGCAGGTCTTTTGAAGAACGTCTGCCTGAAAAAGAAACTCGATCTCTCGCTAGATCTCGCCAGCTCTCGCGCCTCATGCACTTTCAAATCCACTAAGTTACTTAAATCCTGGGCCCATCTGTTTGCTGGTCGGGCTCTGCTTAATCTCTCCTGCGCTCTTCTAACCCCACCGCTTCCCTTTCCACACCCAAATCTGCCGTGGCCTTTGATCTGACCATATTTCTTTTTTCTCTTTCATAATGATGGCCTCTGTGGCTTTGGCGTTGCGGACGCCCTTTGTAATGCTGGGGTGCAGGGTTCGATTCCAGCTGAGGGCCTTGCGCGATACGCTTGGTTTCGACAGTGGTATCGAGAAACGAACCATCCAGAAAACAAAGGCAAACTACTGGACGTAAATTTGCATAGAAAAACTACAACAGCCAAAAAATGCTGCTGTTTGCTCTGAAGTGTCATTTAAAGGGGCGCAACTAACTAACCTCTTTCATAATAAGTTTTTTTAGGGGGTAATAATGTAGTGGTTTCCCCTTGCTTTGACATCTACATTGCCTTAGACTACTACAACCGCAGCCTTTAGCAACAAAGTTTTCATAAATGACAGAAAAAAAAAAAAATTTTTTATGTTAAGCATATCACGTACAATCCAAGTTGATCATTAACTCAAAGGTGCAACAACACTCGATCTCATACACATACTGTCAAACAGGACCACAAACACCTGAGAACAGTCTGTAGACCTGCCCACTCTACGTACAACTTTGAAAAGACACCTGGCCTCAAGAGCAAAGTGTGCAGAGCAAGCTATGGGAAACCTTGCAGGACCTGCAGCTGACATGCGAGTTCATAGAGGCAAACCACCTGATGGTCTGATCTGAGCATACGTAACCGAACGCAAAGAAAAAGAAGAAGAAGAAGAAAAGAAGAAAAAGAAGAAGAAGAAGAAGAAGAAGAAGAAGAAGAAGAAGAAGAAGAAGAAGAAGAAGAAGAAGAAGAAGAAGAAGAAGAAGAAGAAGAAGAAGAAGAAGAAGAAGAAGAAGTAGAAGTATAAGAAGAAGAAAAAAGAAGAAAAAGAAGAAAAAGAAGAGAAGAAGAAGAAGAAGAAGAAGAAGAAGAAGAAGAAGAAGAAGAAGAAGAAAGAGAAGAAAGAGAAGAAAAAGAAGAAGAAGAAGAAGAAGAAGAAGAAGAAGAAGAACACATACAACAAAACTATATCTTTAACAGACAAGACACACAACAAAATTGGATCGCACATATACACACAAGACGTACCCTCAGCGTCAAAACGATGAAGATAACATTCATGAAGCTGATGAAACTGCACGGAGCTACGAAAAAGATGGCCACAGACTTGGTTCCGTTGATCCAACACGAAGGTCTTCCATAGGAGGGTGAGAATTCTGACCAGGGCCATAACTTATCCAGGACTAGAGCTGCGGTGATGATCATCCCTGGGATCACAAGGGAGTAGAGGCAGGAGAGAAACAGACTCTTCGTGCCTCGAGTCATTACCTGATGGAAACAGTCAACTAATTAGAAAATGTGGACATATTAACGAGATCGAAGCAAGAATCCAACAAGCCAACAATGTCGCACACCAGCTTGCCCCAATTTTAAAACACCCTGCTGTCCCAGCTGAGATAAAAAGACAAATTATAAATACAATCTTTACACCGACATTAGGTTATCAATGTCAGACTTGGACATTAACAAAAGAACACGAGAGAAGACTAACCACCTGTGAAATGAGATGTTTGAGAATGGCTGCGAATAAAACCAGAAGAGATCGAGTGAGAAACGATGTGATTACAAGAACTATTGGAACCATACCCATCGTTAAATTTATTGAGAAGCAAAGAATGAAATGGTTTGGTCACCTGATTAGAATGGAACCAACGATGCCAGCATCAAGAGCATACAACATGAAAATCGAAACACCAAGAGGCAGGGGAAGACCAAGAAGAATATGGATTGAAGGAGTCACGGACAACTTGAGACTTCATAACATCACGGCATATGAAGCGACTGAGGGCGCCCTGGCTCGGTTGCCGATCATCTGATAGACTGCGACGCCTAGCGGCACAAGCAGATTTTGACAAAAGAAGAAGAAGAAGACATATTAACAACAACAGACAGGAAGCGAAAACGAGGCCGAATATGCAAATTATGGACATAGGGAGCCCACTACTTTCCGATTCACATGCGAGGTGAGACAATCACATGATATCCTGGAAACTGCGGCTTTGAATTCCAATGAAGATAAGTATTTGTAGATGACCAAGGAATTTCAGGCCTACTACCTGATTGATTACCTCTGCTCCAGCGAATTATACACGACTGTACTTATAGACACAAAACTCCAACTCTACAAGAGCAACATTTTGCCAGTTTTTCTTTATGGAGCAGAATACTGGATAAATAGTACATAAAAAAAGATGCGCACAAGCTATCCACCTTTCACCACACATAGAATTATCAAAACTTTCTGGCCAGATACAATCACAAACACTAAACTACTTCAAGTCACAAATCAAAATGTCTAGAGAGTATGCATAACGAGCACCGATGATGATGCTGATGCTTAGGCTTGATGAGGCCCTAAGATTAACAGTTCACTGAGGTCCCACTTCTTCGTCTTCGCATTTCCAACTCTCCAAAAGAAATGTATGGTGGTCAGTCCAAGTCTGGGATTTATTATTCCAATCGTTGATGACCTACATTTTAGAGTCAGACAGTTGGCACTTCTGACGGCAGCCTTGTGCATTCATTGCGTGTGTATGCCCTGGATTTACCGAGGCTGCAGTCTGTGTTAATCTTTCCGCGAAAAGACAGTGTTGGGCAATCCGTGTGGTTCTTCGGCACAGGAATAGAGCAGCTATGGGATGACCAGTCCGATCAGTTGTACATTCGATTACCTACCTCATTACCAAATTCTTGTGTCACCTGGGCATACCTATTTATCCTGCTTCAATGATTTGGATCTCACCTGGTTACAAATAGTTACCCCTGGCTCAGTTATTTCTATGTCGCCTGGATATACCTGGTTTAGAGATTGCTATCATAACTAGTTAAACCTGTTACTAAAGGTAAATTTTTGTTGAACGATTTCTATCTCACCTGGTTACATCTGGTTACACCTGGTTCAGTGATTGATATCTCACCTGCTAACACCTGGTTCAGAGTGATTGATATCTGACCTGGTTTACTGATCACTATCTCACCTGGTTACACCTGGTTACGACTGGTTCAATGATTGCTTTGTCACTTGGGTAATACCTAGCGATCCTGGTTTAAGAAAATTATGTCTCACCTAGTTACACATGTTTATCATTGTTTTCATGTCACCTGGTCAGACCTAGTTACACATGGTTACACCTGGTTCAGTGATTACTGTTTCACATGCTTACACCTGGTTCAGTGTTACCACTATCTCACCTGGTTACACGTGGTTAAACTTGGTTACACCTGGTTCAGTGATTGCTATCTGACCTAGTTACACCTGGTTCAACGATTGCTATCTGAGCTCGTTACCCCTAGGTGAGTGATGGCTATCTCACCTGGTTAGTCCTGGTTAAACATGGTTAAACCTGGTTCAGGGATTGCTATCTCACCTGGTTACTCCAGTGCCTGAAGGTTCTCCAGATCTCAAAAGCCGTCACGTTCATCCACTGAAGAGAGGAGAGAAAAGCCAAGTGGGTGATGACGGCGATGATGGTGCACGTTCGAGTCCCGTCCTCAACTGCGCCTCCGACCAGGAAGAAGATGTAAGCGACAAGGAGGCTGACACACAGGCAGAACTGCACCTGGGGGGTAAGCGTGTGAGGCATGTTAGTTATGTAAGCAATTGTTTGTTTCGTGTGTGAGTGTATGTTTGTGTATGTGTGTGTGTGTGTGTGTGTGTGTGTGTGTGTGTGTGTGTAAGGAAACATTTCCCCACTAGGAGAAGAAAATTAAGATATTTTTCCTCATCATCAAGTACCTTGCCGGCTGGCGTAGGTGTCCATACATCTTCACAGATCTCGGTCCTTGGTGTTCTGGATCACTTCCACTGATGATATTCCTCCATGCCACTGTCTTAAGCCATCCATTATCATTTCTCTTGGTCCGCCTCTGCCTCTTCTACCAGTGATCTTTCCAGTCGTCACGATATTTTCCTGTGCTACTTTTCTCATCACATGACTAAAGAACTTTGTTTGTCTCCTTACTATTATTTAACTAGCGAATGCACTATGTGCAATGTCCAGAGGGAACTACAAACATTAAATCTTAATAAAGGTTTATATTGCCCCCAGCCTTGCTGGTTAAATCAGAGGATTTGGGGTTTGCCCACATCTATTCTCTACTGTTATTAAATTTGTATATTTAAATGTATTAAAGTTATACTAGCTTTTGTTCACTGACACACTTACAGTTAAAATGAAACTTCAGAAAACTGTAAGAACATTAAAACTACATTTATTAGGATTTTCAATTCAATATAAATTCAAATGATAACTAAATAAAAGGCTGTGGATAAAATTATGGATTGGGAAAGCAACAGATGTTCCCACTTAGCTGTAGCTTATGTCAGCTTCTGGCTAAGCCTTGGTGACACATCAGGCAGGCCGAATCTTCCGGTCCAGTCCAGACAATCGGGTATCTGCAGCTAAGCTTAGGATTTACATCTGGAGCTCCCACCTGTAAGTACCATCTGGAACTAGAACAATAGAACAGTCCTTATACAAACAGTCAGGAAGGTTCTAACTGGAGACAACAATACCTCCAGTCTTTAAACTGTTACACTACACACATATATATGGAGTAGGATAGTAACAGGTGTTCACATTCTACTGGTATAGAATGGGAATGTATACAGAACATGGTCCATAATCCTGATGGGGAAATATTTAGGAAACCAGTTTCATGAAAGCTCTCAAGAACAAGAGTTTACATCACACAAAAAGAAAGGACATTCCTCAGTGTAAATTGTTCTGATGTCTGCACACTAGTACTCCTTTGAAGGGTTAACATGCTTACACACACAGACATACACAGTCATATTTCACAATATTCTCATTTTAACCACATGGGTTCACATCACAATGAATGAGAAACAGGGAGTGAGTTTACCAAGACCAGGAACTCACAACAGGTGCTTTGTACTGTTTGAAAATAAATGGGATTGACATATCTCCATCAATATACTGGGTGCTGGGATAGATGTCAAAATACAATCATAGTTGACAATGGGCTTTCCATCTGTCACAGTATTAACATAAAATATACAACACTCACTCCAGTTTAAATCTAAATCCACCTGTGTGATAACATCTTATTCAGTAGAGTTTAGAAGTTGTAAAGGTTGAAATATAATTATTACAATTGTAAGGCCACCTGATGCAGTACTGAAATATTCCTAGTAATGGGGAAATATATATACAACAATAATAATTACAAGCATGGGCCATACATCTTTCTTCTTCTCTGACAGTGTGAATATTAAATTCAGCCTCACTGTGGTATTCTCTTTCCAAGCTCTTAAACTAGTCTCAGAATTATCTGGACTAAATCTAAATTAAAGCAAGACAGTAATTTATTAAGCTAATATCACCATGAGGTGAAAATCAACTTAGTAAGGAATAGGTATATGAGTATACACTTCATTCCTATTTTTAATTGTCCCACTATGCTGGAAACCGGAACTGGCCGAGATTTTACATGTGGACATAATTATCCCTTAATTAATATAAGTATAATCATCAAAAATACCAATGCACGTTTCTAGTAGCAATTAAACATTAATTAAATCATCAAATAGATCATATGTTTGCATACATGTACATACTAGATCATAAACGTGGTTAGTATAGATAAAGAAATTTATCATGGTTTTTAAGCCATGTGGGGCATCAAATTTCAGAATTTAACCTGTGAAATTAATTCAGAGGAATAAGCAGCAATACATCAAATTAAACTTATTCTTTTAACTCACCCCTGGCAGGGAATTCAAACAGAAAATTGGACCACAGGCGGACTAACAACTTTAGTCTGAACCGGTCAATTTCTGAATTGAAAAGGGAACAGGAAGTCTTTAAAAAGGAGGAAGTTACTCTTCAGTTCCCCTTGACTAATCATCTCATTCGCCTTTATTACCTTTCAACTCTTTAATTATAATTTTGCTACAATAAAGCATTAAGAAAAAGTTAAGGAAATTTCTTAATTAATCCTGTGTTATTATGCTAATTAAAAGCAATAGGAAAATGTTTAGAACTTTGGTAATAATATTATCTAAACAAAGCACTTTTTAAAAGGGCAGAAACAGCTGTCCAGACCAGCTCGTCACAACATACAACATAATTAATGATAGATCACGACAATTCGTTTTCAAATCCATAACGGAGAGACAAAAACAATGAGAATTCCCCAGGCAGACAGTGTACAGCAATGCTAACTTCGCTTAATGATATCCAACTCCAAGATATGCAGATAAACACCTTTTTTGGGGAAGTCATATAAATAAAGATGGGGAGCTGATGGAAATGTTAACAATACGAACACGAAAGAGTAGATGACTTTCAAAGCCTATTAAATCTGTAGAATTTAAAGAAAATCAAAACTAATACTAAACTTAAAATTTTTAACTTCAATGTCAAATCAGTATTGCTGTATGAATCCAAAAAAAAAAAAAAAAAAATGGAGAACAGCAATAACAGTTACTAAACTACGAACAGTCGTTAACTGGTGCCTACATAGAATAGAGGGAATTAGATATAATGCTAGAATCCACAATGCTGAGCTTTGGGGGGTGAGCTAAACAAATTCGAGTGAGCGAACAAATGGGCAACAGACGCTAGCGATGGATAGTACATACTGCAAACCTGATACAAATATAACTAGAAGGGCTTTAAACTTTAACCCACTTCTTCTTCTTCTTCTTCTTCTTCTTCTTCTTCGCTTCCTCTTTTACCGCTGTGGGTGTCGAGGGAGATATAAGGTTCTGTTTCTAGCTCTTCTGGCCGCCTCGACCATAGGCACATCGTGCTGTTGTAGAGTTTCTCTGATGTTATCCTTCCATCTTGTTTTTGGTCTACCCCGTGCCCTACGTCCTTCTTCTCTTTCCATGTATGCTTTGTATGGTATGGTGTCACAAGGCATTCTCTCTAAGTGGGCAAACCATTTCACTTGCTGTCTTTGTATGTAATCCTGAATTGGTTCTGTGCTGACTTGTTCTCTTATGATCTCATTCCTGATCTTATCTCTTATGGTCACTTCTACAGCCCTTCTCAGACATCTCATTTCCGTGGTTACTAATTTTCTTTTATGGTTTGTTGTGAGTGACCATGTCTGGCACTGGTAGCACAGAGTTGGAATAAATATGCTTTGAATAAGATGTCTCTTTGTGCTGATTGGGATTGTCTTATGCTGTAAGAGGGGGGCTAGTTGTCCCAATACTTGGTTTGCTTTACTGCATCTAATGTCAATTTCTTTATCCAATTTCCCATCTTCGGTAAATGTAGTTCCCAGATATTTAAACTCAGATGCATGTTTAATGCCTTTGTATTCTATTGCTTTGTTTAGATCTGTCTTCTTTTTTCCTATTGACATTACTTCTGTCTTTTCAGTGTTGATTCTCATATTATTTGTTTTACATTCTTCATTCATGGATGTTAGATGTTGTTGCAATTTCTTGGCTGTATCTGCTATCAAGGCCTGGTCATCTGCAAAGAGTAATTCGTTGATCTTACTAAGATCTTCATTCATGGGCTTGGCATTCTTGCATATACTGTCGATGTAGGTGATAAACAGCAGTGGTGATAAGACACACCCCTGTCTTACTCCAGATGTCACTGTGAAAGGATGAGATGTTCCCTGATTTATTCTAACTACACTTCTACAATCCCTGTATAAACTTTTGCACACTTCAATGAGGTGTTCGCTTACTTCATATCTTGCCATTATTTTCCATAGTAATTGTCTGTCGACTCTGTCAAATGCCTTCTCCTGGTCTACGAAGGCCACAAATAAGTTCTTATTGTATTCAATGTTCTTTTCTATTAACTGTTTAAGTGTGAAGATTGCATCTGTGCAGCTTCTATTTCTCCTAAATCCCATCTGTTCTTCTGCCAGCTGTGGTTCTATCACTGGTCTCAGTCTTGTTTCTATTATCTTGGCATACATTTTGCCAACATGGCATAAAAGAGAGATGCCTCGATATTGACAGCATTCTCGTTTGCTTCCTTTGTTCTTCCACAATGGTATAACTATTGCATGTTGCCAATCAATAAGGGCCGTTTGTTGTACCCATGCTGCATTGAATATTCTGTGAAGCCATCTGATGCTGCTTGTACAATTATATAGGACAATATGTTGGTAAAATTAATACATGACATAACAGACTTACAAGCAATTGTACGTTAGTCTGTTTTACCAACACTGAATGAATTTAATATACTTGTGCGTGTGAAATCTAGGTCAGTTCCATGAATAAATTCTAAACTGTTTGAACTAGACACCATTGTTTGTTATGTGCTATCAAATACACCGTATATTCGATGGTGTGAGTTGGGTGAGAGCCCATGCTCCTTTGGGGCTTAGAAAGGCAGAAGATATGAACATCAAAGACGCATAAATCCACAAAATCATACGTAATACTGGGCTCATGAATCTCTTAGTTGACTGCAGAGCTAACACAGGTTAAGTTGAGTCAAAAACTGACATCACAGCACTTTGGGTATTCCCATGCATACTCCGACCTCATCTTCAGCAGCCAGTGCAGAGTTCCAATACTGATGGTACCGGTCACAATCTGGTTATATGTCCGTCT